ATACTAGCAAATCAGATCCAGCAATACATCAAAAAACTTATTCACCATGACCAAGTGGGATTCATCCCAGGGATGAAAGGCTGGTACAATATTTGCAAATCAATAAATGTAATACAACACATAAACAAAATAAAAGATAAAAATCATATGATCATATCAATAGATGCTGAAAAAGCATTTGACTAAATCCAGCACCCATTTTTGATAAAAATGTTCAGCAATCTGGGAATGGAGGGATCATATCTTGACATAATAAAGGCCATATATGAAAGACCCTCAGCCAATATCATACTCAATGGGCAAAAACTAAAAGCATTTCCCTTAAGAATAGGAACAATACAGGGATGTCCACTTTTGCCACTCTTATTTAACATAGTACTAGAAGTCTTAGCCACGACAATCAGACATGAAGAAAAAATAAAAGGGATCTAATTGGAAAGGAGGAAGTGAAACTGTCATTATTTGCAGATGACATGATATTATACATAGAAAACCCTAAAGACTCCATCAAAAATCTACTAAACTTAATAAATGCATTTGGCGAAGTAGCAGGATACAAAATTAATAACAAGAAATTGATGGCATTCTTATACACCAATGATGAACTCACAGAAAGAGAAACTAAAAAAACAGCCCCATATACTATTGCGGCAAAAAAATTAAGATACCTAGGGATAAACTTAACCAAAGAAGTAAAGGACCTATTTGCAGAAAACTACAGGACATTGAAAAAAGAAATAGAGAAAAATATAAAAAAATGGAAGCACATACCTTGTTCATGGATTGGAAGAATTAATATCATTAAAATGTCCATATTACCCAAAGCAATCTATAGATTCAATGCAATCCCCATCAAAATACCAACGACATATTTCACCGAACTAGAACAAATACTTCAAAAGTTTATATGGAACCAAAAAAGACCCCGAATAGCCACAACAATCTTGCAAAAGAAGGACAAAATAGGTGGGATCACAATACCGGATATCAGGTTATACTATAAAACTACTGTAATCAAAACAGCCTGGTACTGGCACAAGAACAGGCAGATAGACCTGTGGAACAGAACAGAGAACCCAGAAATGGACCCAAAACATTATACTCAATTAATATTTGACAAAGGAGACAAGATCATCCAATGGAGTAAAGACAGCCTCTTTAATAAATGGTGTTGGGAAAATTGGACAGCTATATGCAAAAAAAATGAAACTGGACCATCAACTTACAGCATACACAAGAATAAACTCAAAATGGATAAAAGACTTAAATGTGACCCGTGAATCCATAAAAATCCTAGAAGAAAATGTAGGCAACAAAATTTTGGACATCATATGCAGCAGAATTTTTACTGATACACCACCAAAGGCAACAGAAACAAAGGGAAAAATGAACACGAGGGACTACATCAAACTAAAAAGCTTCTGTGCAGCAAAGGAAACAACCATCAAAATGGAAAGGGAACCCACTGTATGGGAGAGCATCATTGCCAATGATACATCAGATAAGGGGCTAATTTCCAAAATATATAGAGTACTCATAAAACTCAACAGAAGAAAGACAAAGAACCCAATTAAAAAATGGGCAGAGGAACTAAATAGACATCTCTCCAAACAGGACATACAAATGGCCAAGAGACATATGAAGAAATGCTCAACATCACTAATCATCAGAGAGATGCAAATTAAAACAACAGTGAGGTATCACCTCACACCTGTCAGAATGGCCGCCATCAACAAATCATCAAACAACAAGTGTTGGTGAGGGTGTGGAGAAAAGGAGTCTCTAGTACACTGCTGGTGGGAATGCAGACTGGTGCAGCCACTATGGAAAACACTATGGTGTTACCTCAAAAAATTAAAAATGGTACTTCCATTTGACCCATTGATTCCACTTCTAGGAATATACCCTAAGAAACCTGAAACACCAATCAGAAAGAATATATGTACCTTTATGTTCATAGCAGCACTATTTACAATAGCTAATATCTGGAAACAGCTCAAGTGTCTATCAGTAGACGAATGGATAAAAATGTTGTGGGCCCTGGCCAGTTTGGCTCAGCAGTTAGAGCATCAGCCTGCAGTCCTGAGAGACCCAGGTTCAGTTGCAGTTTTTCCCTGGCCCTGGTTGGGCCGTGTGGGTGGCAACCACTTGATGTGTCCCTTTTACGTCGGATGTTTCTCTCTTTCTTCCTCTCTCTCCCTCCCACTCTATCTGAACAAAAAATGGAAAAATGTCCTCAGGTGAGGATAAAAAAAAAATAGAAAGAAAAAAACGCTGTGGTACATATATACAGTGGAGCATTATGCAGCTGTAAGAAAGAAAGATCTCTTATCCTTTGAGATGACATGGAGCAACCTGAAAAGTATTATCCTAAGCAAAATAAGCCAAGCAGAAAAAGATAAATATCACATGATCTCACTTATTTGTGGAATATAGTGAACATAACAGTCTGAGGACCAGGGTAAACCCAGAGATATGGAAGTAGGGTACAGATTGACAACCCCCAGAAGAGGGGGTGTAGGGGAGGGAAGAGGTAAAGCACAGAACTTATATGCATGTACTCATAACCGATGGACATGGACAACAAAGCCGGGGACGGGGTGGGGGGGGGGTGGGGAGGAGGGTGCCAATGGGGAAAAAAGGAGAAAGATCTGTAACAAAAATAAATTAATAAAAATAAATTTAAAAAATATTTACAAAAAAATATACAAACTGATATTCATTCGCTTGGATCAGGCAAACCAAAGATGTAGAAAGGTGTCAGAATATGGAGGTGGTGAATTTGTAAAGGTATCTATTTACAGAGCTGTTGCTTCGCTCGGTGGGAATCTACATCCTGAGCAGTACAGTGAGAGGTGATGGGGTTTCTCCCCTTTTCCAACGCCTAATGGGGGGAGTTTCTCAAGGAATTGTGGAGAGCACAGCAACTTTCAGTTGAAGTGATAATGGACTCATATCTGGCTTTCTCCTTGAACATCTAGAGGTTGAGATCCTCAAGAGCAAGGAATTTCCACAGCAGGACAGAGAAAGCGGCTGCTGTTTTGGAACTGTCCTCCCTTCTAACAGAGTGTCCAAGATGCCAGGATTCTGAAGACTTGCTGTGGAACCTGTCCTCTGATCCTGCCTATGAGGGCTTCTACCTGAGGGCTATAAATACTAAATAAAATATATGAGCCATAAAAAAAGAAAAAAGAAAAAACAAGTGCACCCACAGCTTCTTGCCAGTCTCTAGTAACAACACCTGCTGTCCACACACCGGCCACACCCACAGTGATCTCTTATGAGGATTATTCAGTGGCCACATGAGGGGATGACGAACTGTTTATTCAGATTCAAGCGTTATTCCATAAATTATACCCTGTCTACCACTCAGCCTCATACAATATTCCAACTCAATATTTTGGTTTAAAGTATTTGAATTCTCAACATTAGACTAAAACAGCAATTCTATATGGTTTAACTTAATGTTCCTACAGGTCCCATAACTTCGGTACATTTGCACGTGTTCTGCCGTCTAGAAGGCCATGTTAGTATCCTATGGCTGTGGTAACAAAGTACCACAAACCGGTGGTTTGGAACAGCAGGAGTTTATGGTCTGGAGTTTTGGATGCCAGCAGTCCAAAGTCAAGTTGTGGGCAGCGTCTTTCCGAAGCTGCAGGGCGGGCTCTGTTCCAGGACTCTCTCCTAGCTTCTGGGACTTCCTCGGCTTGTGACATCACAACTCTGATCTTTATGTGCCATTTTTCTTATGTGGGTGTGTATTCACAATTTTCCTTCTTATAAAGACATCAGTCATATTGGACCAGGTGCCATCCCTGCTCCAGTGTGACCTTGTCTTAACTAATTACATCTACTACAACACTATTTTCAAATAAGGTCACATTCTGAGGTACTAGGGGTTATAGATGTATTTTGGGAGAGCACCATTTAACTCATAACAACTGCCTTCCTGCCCTTACCCAATACCATTTCTCTACCCAGACAGAGCTTATTTTCTCTGTAAAATCTTCCCTAACATCTTTTCCCACCATCTCTTACCACACCCATGATCCTCCCAAACTGGGTTGGGTGTCCCTCCATTATTCCCAGTGATACTGATACTCTTACTGCATTGTATTAAGGCAGAATCATTGCTCCCAAGTCTCTCCCAGATGGATGAGAGCTTCTAGGAGACAGAATAAATATTGTTCATCTTTGCACCATCCTCCAAGCCTGAATGTAGAAAGGGCTCCAGAATGTGCCAGCTAACCTAGTGAACAAACAAATGAACTGCACCAGGGAAATCCACCTGCAGCTGATCTCTGAAAGCACTTGTACTTGATGCACCTGTACATCTTATTCATAGAAACTGCTGGTCAGCGTACTTTCCTCTGTTCAAAGAGTTCGATGACATTAGTAGAGATACAATTAGTAGAGAATTAAAATTGCAGCTTGGTGATTTCCAGGTCCTGTGCCAGGATCCATGAATTACTTTATTGTTCTCCCAACAATATAATGATATATTATTATTATGCCCATTTTACAGATGAATAATCTGAGGATCGAAGTTCAGTAGCTCCCCTAAGACCATTGGTGACGTGAGCTCTGTTCAGTAGGAGTGAGTCCGTGTTTGCTCCGCTGTATCTGATCTGACCTGTTTGGACCGTCACGCTCAGGTCCTTCCTCCTGGGGAGTGCCTTCAGCTCTTTTCTCCTGACACATTACTGAATCTGGGAGGCCCCGACTGGTTTGGAGTCCTCTCGCTCTGCTCCCTCTGGCCCCCCAGTTCCACACTGACCTCCACATCCCAGAGGACTGGCTCATGGAACCCATCAAGTTCCTGGCCAGAACACCAGCCGGTTGCTTTGTCTGAACCATGCCAGCTCCACCCAGTGCCCTATTGTGACCTTGGTGTCAGGCTGGGTTGTGAGATAGGGAGCACAGATCACAGCCCGGCTCAGCCCCTGCACTGCTGTGCACAGACTCAGTGCAAGTCTCTCCACTGGCTTGAGCGGAGACCCATGGCCAAGGACAGGATGGAGGATGGGAGAGCGGTGTTTCTGCTGCCTGTTGCCCTGCTGCTGCCCTGGGCACACGGCTCCCTGGCATGTAGGTCTCTTGTGGTGTTCTTATGTCTGCCTCCCAGCGCAGGGGAATCACTAGGGAGCTTTTGTTCATACTGTCAAGTCCTGGCATGTCGATCTGTAGTTCTGGGTTGAATCTGAGGGACTGTACTGTATTTGTATAAATATATATTATTTTCCCATTGATTTTAGAGAGATTGGAAGGGCCGGGGGGGGGGGAGAAAGATTGATATGAGAGAGACGTGTATATTGGTTGCCTCTTGCTCTCACCCCACCTGGGGCCAGGATCAAACTTGCAACCCAAGTAAGCGCCCTTGACGGAGATTGAACCCGAGACCCTTCATTGTGCAGGCCGATGTTCCAACCCCTGAGCAACACCAGCCAAGGTAGAACTGCACATTTAGTAAGCTGCTCAGGTGAATGCAATGTGTGTGGGGGTACCTGGACAGGCCTTTCAGATCATTGTTCCCACAACACCCCAACTTTACAGTTATATGTGGACGATCCCAGTATGTGAGTGAGTGTGTGTGTGTGTGTGTGTCTGTGTGTGTTTATCACCTATGTTAAGTAGAGTTTTCCAGAGTGAATGGCCAATGTAAGCAAATCCTTCAAGGGGGTAACCGGCTGTCAAGCTGGAGATGCCACCTTGCCATAGTCCTGCAGCTGTAAGGCCATGGGTGATCCTAAAAAGGTATTTCCCTCCTACTTTCTCTTTGAAACAGTCTGAAGGCTCCTGTGGAGACTAGCTTGTCAAATACAAAACCATAACATGATAGAACTATAATGAAGGCAGTGTATTAATACCCACCATGGCTTCATCTCCCTGGGTCCTGAGAATTTATGGAGGCTTGCATTACGTTCAGCTTGTTGGTTGACAAATATCAAACCACGTGCCAGAAGCTGTTTTAGGAGCTGGGTTTATAACAGAGAATGACATACTCATTTCTTACCCTTACACAGTTTTACTACCTAAAGGGAAGGATATATTGAATGAATAATGAGTCAATAAATACGTTCATTTCAGCTCCGGGTAAGTGGTATGAAGCAGACAAAATAGGCAAGTGTGGTGCAAGGTCTGCAGGTGTTGTTGAGACTGCCCTAGTAGCTGGGCACAGAAAGCCTTCCTAAGATGACGAGATATGGGTTGACACCCACCTGATGAGAAGATGACGTATTTCCAAGCAGGAGTGACAGCAAGTGCAAAGTCCCTGAGTGATGAATGAGCTCGGTTAGGTTTTAGAGGCAGGCAGGTCTGTGTAGCTGGGGCAGAGCCAATGGGCAGGGGGCACTGGAGAAAGATGGGCTCAGAGAGGTCATTAGGGTCTGGATCATGCTGAGCCCCATAGAGGCACAGTCAGGACCTTGTATTTCATTCTGGTTATGATGAGAAGCCACTGGAGAAATAAGTGAGGAAAGTGAGAAATAAGAGGTGATTTAGAAAGATTCTCTGGCTGCTACAGAGGACAGACCATTCAGGGACAAGAGTGGAAAAAGGGAGGGAGTTGGTGGGCATGAGAGGATGGTGGCCTAGGTGGGTTTGTAGCAGTGAGGATGGAGAGAAGGGTTTGACTCGACTTGAAATGCATTCATTGGATGTGGGAGGCAAGAGAAGAATAGTCAAGGATAACTTCTAGATGCTTTTCTTGCCTAAGCAAACAGATGGATGTGGGCACCATGTATTGAATTGTGGAAGGATTGTAAGAACACAGATGTGGAGTGGGGCCAGGTAGTCAGTGATTTGATCTGGGCCATATTTTGCAATGTGTCATAGACATTGTTATAAGACATGGAGTAGGGCGGTTGGTTAGTGGGTTAGGAGCTCAGTGGAGAGGTCTGAGAGGGACACATGTGAGGCCATTTGTATAAAGATGACATTTGAAGTGATGGCTGGGATAACAAGAGAGAAGTCCTCTGAGAGAGGAGGACTTGGATTTTTGGAAGAGGAAAAGGATTCAGCCAAAGAATTTGGAAGGAATGGCCACTGTTGTTGGAAGACAATAAACAAGTGTGTTCTATCAGGGACATTTTGCCCAGAGATGACCCCAGATTGAAGCAAGAGTCTTGGGCAAAGCTCTTCAAAAAGGAAAGATTTATTTCTCCTTGGTGCAGACGAGAATGAAGCCCAATGCTATCCCTCTAAAGCAATGTTACATTAAAAAAAAATGTGCAGAGGCTGTGTGAATACCTCTCTGTGTACTAGAGATGAGAACACGGAAGCTCAGAGAGGTTACGTTAGTGGCTCCAAATCTTACAGGGAGCAGACAGTGGAGCCAACTCAGAACTTCTGACTCCAAATCCCACACCCTTTCCCTCTTGGCCAGGTGTCCGGCCAGCTAGGACAAACAAAGGAAGCGTCTCTTCATGCCCATACCACATGCCTTCTGTAGACTTGATTTCTGTCTCCAGTCAGGCTCTATTTCTCTCTCAATCAATCACATGTTGATAGAATCTCTGTGGAAAAAGAGAATTTCTGAGACACCCCAGTAGTGCCGGGAAAGACAATCCACTCCGGACCCAAGAGCTAAAATGAGACCTTCCTATCTTCATAAGATTACCAGATCTCTGGGTTGAGATCAGTCATTTGGAAAAAACCTAGAGCCTAAAGTCATTTCATCCAGCAGGATTTGCAGGGGAGTATCTCTGAACTCCCCCACAAAAAGCTTTGCTCTGTGGTGCTGGTGGACCCAAGAATTCATTTGGTTCTCTGTGTACAGAATATATGTGGAAGTTCCTTGGGCTCCCAGGGACTCTCCTAAAATTCACAACCATGGTTCACCCATTTTCCAGGTCATCCCCAATTCCATGCTATTTTCAACAAAATTGAGATGTTCAACACAAAAATATGAAAGAACGTTTGAACTCACATAAGACTTCTCCTGTAAATACATCCCCACTTCAGCCTGCCTGGCACAGGCAGCCTGACCTCAGCATCCCCACAGCGTGAGGAACGGTGCAGCTGAAATCTCAGACCTCTTAAGGTGAAGAACGAGAAGGCTAAAATGTTCTTCAACATTTACATATAAAAATTTAATAAAGATCCTTACGTTTTGTATTGATATAATTTAAGTAAAAATATTTCCCCCTAACCATTTTGAACTGAAAAGCACAGTGTTTTAGATATTCCTGGGCACCAGCTACTGATTCTCTTTTTCTATCTTCAAATAAGACCACCTCCATGGGCCACTTACTCTTGCCCCAACCCAGGCTTCCTGATTTAGGAACTCAAAGAGCAGCTGCTTCCATGGGTCTGGGGGCATTAGCATCTTTGAACGGAAGGTCCTCAATCCCCTGATCACTTGTACAGGTCATTGGTAGGATTTTACTGTTGACATTGATCTTCATCTCCCATCCCACTTGTCCATCCATCCAACCATTTGTTCAGTAAATATGCATTGGGTTTCTACAAGGTGCCAGTTTCTAAGGTGGGTGATGATGCTATAAAAATTAGCCACCCAAGGTTTCTGCCTGCATAGAGATTACAATTAAATGGGGGAGATAGACCTTAAACTAGTAGTCTCACAAATGCTTAATTACTCTTGCTAGTGTTCTGAGGGGAAGGTAGGGGATAGGATAAGAAAGATACTGAGGTGCTCTTGAAGGGCAAGTAAGATTTCTAAAAGGGTTTAGTAGCTGAGGGAAGATGTGAGCACACCCAGGAATTAACAAGGCAGGGAGGGGCGAGACTGGCCAGGGAGGGGCCTGACATTCTGGCAGAGGCCTGAGGAAGAGCCTGCGGAAGGAGGAAGCAGGTAGGATGTTGGAGGAGAGCAACTCAAAGGCAGAGATAGGCAGCAGCTGTGCTGGTAATAGCTAGTGTTGGCGGCATGTGGTAGTCAATGTGGTGGTTACTGATGTGTGGTGTGATGGTGGTGACCTGGTGGAAACATGTGATGCTGTTTGTGTGGTGTGAGGATGTGTGGTATGGTGTGTGGAGTGGGGATGTGTGGTGTGGGATTGTGTTGTGGTGGTTGTGTTGTGTGAGGTTGTGTGGTGTGGAGATGTATGGTGTGGAGATGTGTGGTGTGGGGTCATAAGGTGTGTGGATATGTGATGTGGTGTGTGGAGTGGCGATGTGTTGTGATGGGGTTGTTGGTGTTGGTGTGGAGATGTGTGGTGTGGGGTTTTGTGGTTTGGGGTTCTATGGTGGTGGTTGTATAGTTTGGGAATGTGTGATGGTTTGGTAGTATGGTGTAGGGATGTATGATGATGGGGTTGTGTTGTGTGGAGATGAGTTGTGGTGGAGTGGGGTATGGGATTGTGGTGATGGGATGTTGTGGTGTGGGAATGTGTGGTGGTAGTTGTGTGGTATGGAGTTGTGTGGTGTTGTGCTGTGTGGTGATAGTAACATGTGGGTGGGGATGTGTGATGTGGGGATGTGTGGGGATGGGATGTTGTGGTGTGGGGATGTGTGGTGATGGGATGTTTTGGTGTAGAGATGTGTGATGATGGGATGTTGTGGTGTAGAGATGTGTGATGATGGGATATTGTGGTGTGGGGATGTGTGGTGATGGGATGTTGTGGTGTAGAGATGTGTGATGATGGGATGTTGTGGTGTAGAGATGTGTGGTGATGGGATGTTGTGGTGTGGGGATGTGTGGTGATGGGATGTTGTGGTGTAGAGATGTGTGGTGGTAGTTGTGTGATGTGGGGTTGTGTGGTGTTGTGCTGTGTGGTGATAGTAACATGTGGGTGGTGGTGATGTGTAGTGTGGAGATGGTTTGAATCATATTCCTTTCATACTAATCTCTCCTGTGAATGGTTTAATGTCATTGCCTTCTCCCCGTGGACAAACCTGGTTAGCACTTAGAAGCAGTTGGCCCCGTGGGTATGAGAACAGACTCGGGAGCCAGACCGCCTCATTTCACATTTCAGCTCAGTCCTGTGTGAGCTGTTGGGTCTCAGCCAGATACCCTAATCTTAAACGTGCCTCTTGTCTCCCCTTCCAAACGGCAGTGATACATTCAGTTATCTCATGGGGTTAACGTGATATTTTAATTGTTTAGAGAAAACAGGATGACGCCTGGCAAATAGCAAGTTTCAACAGTTTAGATTTTATGATGTTTCTTTTTCTCATGACTCATAACATTTGAAAGACTTTGAAAGAAGTCAAAGTAATCCTGCTGCGTAGGAAATGCCCAACTTTTATCCTCTCAGGGTGACACTGGCATGATCTCTAGAATTAAACCTGAGTGAAGGACGGTATCACCAACCACAATAAGAAACCCAGAGAGGACCCAGTGAGGACGGAGCGGCTGGTCAATTTCCCTTCGCTGTAACATTTCTGGTGTCTGTGTCCTCTACTAGGAGAGGCCCTTGCAGAGCTGAGGAGAAGCATTTTATGTTCTACACCAAGACAATAACAAAGGCCCTGTTTTTCAGAGGACAGTGAGGCCTAACTTCAAGGAAAGAAATGTTCCCACTTGAGCTTCCTTCCCGGGGGCAACAGGCTTGTGGTTGGGTCTCCTCCCCAAAGGCCCTCAGTGGGAGACACTCCCAAGAAGATAAGCTACGGTGAAGGCAGCAGCTGTTGTACCCCACAGGCACAGTCTCACAACTGTGGTGCCCTTGGCAGCTGGGGACACTTCTGTCTGATGGGTCCCCCACCTGGTGTTAGCTGGCTAAGCCACTGCTATCTGTGTGCCGGGGTCGTTGGGGGGAGAGGGGAGGAAAAGGAGGCACTGTCCTAAGTCTCTTCCAAGCCAACCAACCTTGACTGTTGGGCCCTGGCTCTCTTTTCTCTTCCTTCTTTCTGCTTTTAGTGACATGTGGTCAAACAATAATTACCAAATCTGAGAAATCAAACATTTTGAAAATCCTGGGCGGGGAGCCTGCAAGCATTACCGAGTTCCCATGGCAGGTGAATATTTTATACCAAGGGAGACATCTCTGCGGAGGATCAATTCTCAGTGAGTGGTGGGTTCTATCTGCCTCCCATTGCTTCATAAACAAAACTAAGTAAGTATTGCAAACAGACTTCTTTTTAAACCAGTGTGGTAGATTATTGGCCCCTACATGCTTATTGTTTTCCTGGAACCTCCATCCAGATGTATCAGCCATAGAACAACGTACCAGGAGGCCTAATGCCCGGCTGGCTGAGTATCACCCTTTGCAGGTGGGAGAGACGCGGCTCTCCTTCTTGTTGTTTAGGACCCAAATGGCAGAACAAATGTTCCTTGGGCTTCTCAGCATCTTGCCAAGTGCATGTAATCCTGGTCCAAACCTCTGCAAAGTACTTTCCTAAGCATTTGCTCACACTCGGGTACATTGCAGGTGACAGTGACCACAGAGTGGGAGACTCCTACAAGGAAGGGATGAGAACCCTGGGCAGGGCGTCAGGCCTGGCCGCATGGCAGAAGCTTCCGTCTTAGCCTGAGTCCTCCAATCAGTAGTTGTGAGAAACTTCCCAGGTGTTTGTTAGATTGCTAGCCCAGCCCTTCTTGCAAATCAGGGTGAATTCCCTCTATTACTTGTGCATAGCATGGCTTCCCAGACATTCACTGATGAAATGTACAAATGAAGTTGCCCAAGCCTGAGGCCTTTAGGCCAAAAGCTGTTGCCAACAGGACAGAGCTGGAACTCACGTCTGCCTCCTCCTGCCCAGTCAGGGCCCTTGGCCTGGCTCTGTGCCAGGGGCATGGCCCAGGTGCTGCCTCTCCCCAACTCTCAGGGTCACAGCCTCAGACTGTTGGGATTATTTTCTCGTGAAGCTCACCTTTAGCTCTTTCAACACTTACCTTTTTTTTTGTTCTCTCTCCTTTTATTTTGAAATGAGATCTACCTTGGAGATCATACAGGATGACAGAAACCTTATCACCAAGAACTTGACCAAGATGAAAGTGGACAAGCTAATTATCCACCCCTATTTTGACAGCTGGCTCTTGGATAACGACATTGCTTTACTCCTGCTCAAATCCCCATTTAACTTCAGTGTCACCACAGCCCCCATCTGCCTTTCAGAGGTCACTGACATACAGAGATGGAGAAACTGCTGGGTGACTGGATGGGGCATTACTAGTGAGTTCCTATAGCCCAATCCAATGGTGGGGGTGGGGGTAAGTGGCACCCTGGTTGATGTTTCTAAATGAGAAGCACAAAGCGGGAGGCTCTGTTGGCCCTGGGAAGTCTGCCTTGTGGATTTGGGGACATTAAGTTCTCATTTAAGGTTCCATGATGTTCCTTCTCCTCACTTAGCATGGGGACTGTCCTTCCCAGGCCTTTCTGGGTCCCTGGAGCAAGTATTATGTCCATATTGTGGAATATGACCTTGAACAGGGCCTAAGACATAACCCAGGCAGACGTTTTCAGAGTCTGAGAGGAGACTTGGAGAAATTTTGAGGGATACATCAATGGGTAAAGAGGTGGCAAAATAGACTGAACTCCTGGAAACCCATACCAATGTCATCAGAGCAGTTCTGTTGGAACTGACCATGTCAGTTCTGCTCACCTGGGGTAAAGGCTCTGTGGGAAATATCCAAAAACCACAGGCCGAGGAGAAGGGGATACACTGCGAACTTGTCCTTACACAGTCACCCTGCAAACTCCTCTCACCGCTTTCCCCCGCCAACACTCAACACGCTGACCTCTTGTCCTTCATCTTAGTACATGTGTTTTTGCCTTATAATCAACAGAGCAGAGAAAAAATCAAACATATTCCCGTCAGTGCTATTATCCAAGCAGGCACTCAGACGGCTGTCCATGGATTCCCACGTGGTCCCACAGCTCAGAGCTATGTTCGAATTCCTCAGTGGGAACTGCCCTTAGAGGTTTATCATGAGCTTCGAAAAGGGCCACCTTCTTAACCTTGAGTTCCTCATGCTTCCTCCAGCACGTATTCATTGAACCTCCTCTATGATCCAAGCAGTGTTCTAGGCTCTAGGGATTCAGCAGTACTGCACAAAGACAAAACTATCCTCCTCTTGGGGAGTGAACATTCTAGGTGTTGGGCTCACCTCCTCCATTGGCAGTGAACTACTCAACGGCCCTGACACAATTCAAGCTCACCTTTATGTCTTGTGGACCCCAGGACAGAACGTGTCACTGTAGGTTCTCTTTACATCTTGTGAATTTAAAAGAAACATCTTTTTAGGACACTAGGTGGAGCCTAGCTGTTTCTGCAGAACAAGAGTATGGTGCACTCAGGTTGAAACCCTGCAGAGGTCTGGTTATGGGGACTTCTAGATTAAGAGAGGGTGGGCTTGTGAGTCTCCTGTCCATCTATCTCATTCCCTCCTTATTCAGCCCAAATGTGGCTTGTTCTCTGGACCATAGGAAAGTTCCCTTGTCATTGAGGTGAAAAGACATGATGTCTGTTGGTTGCAGCCACTCAAAGTGACCACTGTGAGCTCAGAGTCCTCCCCCCTCTGCTTCTTCTTTGGGTCAGTTCCTCTGCAAGCTGTACATGAAGACCTGCAGAAAGTCAATATCAAGCTGGTCAAATGGAGAACGTGCTTCCACATTATGCCTCTGGTCACCAAGAACATGCTGTGTGCTGGGAATCCCCAAGGTGGGAAGGATGCCTGCCAGGTAATGAAGCTTGTCCTTTGCTGGGGGAAGGGCTGCCACAGAGGGCTGGCCGACCTCTCCAGGATAGTTGGCTCCCCTCGTCCTCCTCTGGATAGGCTTCCTAAGGCTGCTGTATCAGGTAGCCACAAACAGGGTGCATTGAAACAACAGAAATGTATTCTCTCACAGTTCTTGAGGCCAGGAGTCCAAAATCAAGTACCAGCAGGGTCATGCTCCCCTAGGAGGCTCCAGGGCAGGATCCTTCCTCACCTTTTCTGGCTTCTGGTGGTTGATGGCAGTCCTTAGCGTTCCTTAGCTTACAGGTGCATCACTCCAACCTCTGCGTCCATCTTCACATGGCTTCTTCCCTGTGTGTGTGTCTCTTCTGTTTTCTCTTAAAAGGATATTGTTGGACCAGGGCCCACACTAATTGAGTAGGACTTCATCTTAATTAAACTACTTACATCGGCAAAGGTCCTATTTCTAAATAAGTCGCAGCCTGAGGTTCTGAGTGGACAGGAATTTGGGAGAGATGCTATTAACCCCGTCGAGATGCTGTGCAGGGCAGTGGTTAGGGTGCAGGCTTCCCTGCTTCTCTCCTGGCTTCTGTACTGACGGCCTTGACTTCCCTCTGTGCCTGTGCCTTTTCAGACGCCATCATCTGTAAAATGGGAATACTAAGATTTCCCACCTTTTGGAACTGTTGTGGAAATTGAGTCAATGGACAAATGCACTTAGAACAGTGCACGGTAGCGGAGGGTCATAGTCAATGCTGAGAATATCATGTTTCCACCACCATCTCTTACACCTGCTCAGTAGCATACTAACCACTTCCACAAATACATGAAAGGGGTATGCAGTAGCCCTAGGAAGCAGGCCTATTTCATATGGGGAAACTGAGGATCAGAGAAGCAGAGAGCTTTGTGGAGGGTACACCAGCAAGGTAAATGGCAGACCCAGAATGCCCACAAAGGCACGCTGACTTCTGGGCTTAGAGTTATCTTGGGGTTCCAGTAGAAACGGGCTCCAACCCCAGCCTGGCAGTGCCCAGATTTTGGGTGCTCAACAACCACCAAGGTGCTGGGAGCTACCCCTGAGTCCAGGCTGGCAATGTATCAGGGCGGGGCTTAGTGCTACACACCTGTCATTCTCTTCCATTCACAAAGCCGTCCTGGGAGAGCTGTGCATAGAAAGCATGCCTTAAAACACTGCAGAACATTTTCTTTTCTTCTTTTTTATATAATTTTTAAAATTAATTCATTTTTGTTTCAAATGTTTCTTTTTTTACCTCCATTGACCCCTCCTGATCCTGCCTCCGCACCTGTCCCTAGCATTGTTGTCCATGTTCATGGTTATGCATACCTGCATATAAGTTCTGTGTTTTATCTCTTCCCTTCCCTCCTCCCCCCTCCCCCCTTCTGAGGTTTGTCAGTCTGTGTCCTACTACTATGTCACTGAGTCTATTTTGTTCATCAGTTTGTTTTGTTCATTATATACCAGAAACAAGTGAGATCATGTGATAATTGTCTTTCTCTGATTGGCTTTCACTTAGCATAATACTCTCCAGGTCCCTCCATGTTGTCTCAAAGGATAAGAGATCTTTCATTTTTTTTTTTAATTTTTTATTTATTGTTTTCTTACAGATATTACCTTTTTTACCCCATTGGCACCCCCATCCCCACCCTACCCCCACCCCGTCCCCGGCTTAGTCGTCCATGTTCATTGGTCATGCATACATGCATATAAGTTCTGTGGTGTATCTCTTCCCACCCCCCCAACCCCTCTTCTGAGGGATGTCAGTCTGTGCCCTACTTCGATGTTTCTGGGTCTACTGTATTCCTCAGACTATTATGTTCATTATATTCCGTATATAAGTGAGATCATGTGGTATTTGTCTTTTTCTGCTTGGTTTATTTCACTTAGGATAATACTTTCCAGGTCCCTCCATGTCGTCTCAAAGGATAAGAGATCTTTCTTTCTTACCGCTGCATAGTACTCCATTGTGTATATGTACCACAGCTTTTTTATCCATTCATCTACTGATGGACACTTGGGCTGTTTCCAGATCTTAGCTATTGTAAATAGTGCTGCTATGAACATGGGGGTACATATATTCTTCCTGATTGGTGTTTCGGGCTTCTTAGGGTATATTCCTAGCAGTGGGATCACTGGGTCAAATGGAAGTTCAATTTTTAATTTTTTGAGGTAACACCATATTGTTTTCCGTAGCAGCTGCACCAGTCTGCATTCCCACCAGCAGTGTATTAGAGTTCCCTTTTCTCCACACCCTCGCCAACACTTGTTGTTTGATGATTTGTTGATGGCGGCCATTCTGACAGGTGTGAGGTGATACCTCATTGTTGTTTTAATTTGCATCTCTCTGATGATTAGTGATGTTGAGCATTTCTTCATATGTCTCTTGGCCATTTGTATGTCCTGTTTGGAGAGGTGTCTATTCAGCTCCTCTGCCCATTTTTTAATTGTGTTCTTTGTCTTCCTTTTGTTTAGTTGTATGAGCACTCTATATGTATCGGAAATTAACCCCTTATCTGATACATCATTGGCAATGATGCTCTCCCATACAGTGGGTTCCCTTTCCATTTTGATGGTTGTTTCCTTTGCTGCGCAGAAGCTTTTTAGTTTGATGTAGTCCCATGTGTTCATTTTTTCCTTTGTTTCTGTTGCCTTAGGTGATGTATCAGTGAAAATTCTGCTGCGTATGATGTCCAAAATTTTGTTGCCTACATTTTCTTCTAGAATTTTTATGGATTCACGGGTCACATTTAAGTCTTTTATCCATTTTGAGTTTATTTTTGTGTATGGTGTAAGTTGATGGTCTAGTTTCATTTTTTTGCATGTAGCTGTCCAATTTTCCCAACACCATTTATTAAAGAGGCTGTCTTTACTCCACTGTATGCTCTTGGCACCTTTGTCAAATATTAATTGAGCGTATTGCTTTGGGTCCATTTCTGGGTTTTCAGTTCTGTTCCACTGGTCTATATGCCTGTTCTTGTGCCAGTAACAGGCTGTTTTGGTTACAGTCGCTTTGTAGTATAACCTGATATCTGGTATTGTGATCCCACCTACTTTGTTCTTCTTTTTCAAGATTGTTGTGGCTATTTGGGGTCTTTTTTGGTTCCATATGAACTTTTGAAGTATTTGTTCTAGTTCTATGAAATATGTCGTTGGTATTTTGATGGGGATTGCATTTAATCTATAGATTGCTTTGGGTAGTATGGACATTTTAATGATGTTAATTCTTCCAATCCATGAACAAGGTATGTGCTTCCACTTTTTTATATCTTCCTCTATTTCTTTTTTCAATGACCTGTAGTTTTCTGCAAATAGGTGCTTTACTTGTTTGGTTAAGTTTATTCCTAGGTATCTTAATTATTTTGGCGCGATGGTAAATGGGATTGTTTTTTTAGTTTCTCTTTCTGTGAGTTCATCATTGGTGTACAAGAATGCTGTCGATTTCTTGACGTTAATTTTGTATCCTGCTACTTCGCCAAATTCATTTATTAAGTCTAGTAGATTTTTGATGAAGTCTTTAGGGTTTTCTATGTATAATATCATGTCATCTGCAAATAATGATAGTTTCACTTCCTCATTTCCAATTTGGATCCCTTTTATTTTTTCTTCATGTCTGATTGTTGTTGCTAAGAATTCCAGTACAATGTTAAATAAGAGTGGCGAAAGTGGACATCCCTGTCTTGTTCCTGTTCTTAATGGAAATGTTTTTAGTTTCTGTCCATTGAGTATGATGTTGGCTGTAGGTCTTTCATATATGGCCTTTATTATGTCGAGATATGATCCCTCTATCCCCACATTGCTGAGCGTTTTTATCAGAAATGGATGCTGGATTTTGTTGAATGCTTTTTCAGCATCTATTGATATGATCATGTGGTTTTTATTCTTCATTTTGTTTATGTGGTGTATCACATTTATTGATTTGCGAATATTGTAGCAGCCTTTCATCCCTGGGATGAATCCCACTTGGTCATGGTGAATAATTTTTTTGATGTATTTCTGGATCCGATTTGCTAATATTTTGTTCAGGATTATGGCGTCTATGTTCATCAGGGATATTGGCCTGTAGTTTTCTTTCTTCGTAGTGTCTTTTTCTGGTTTTGGAATTAGAATTATGCTGGCCTCGTAGAACGTGTTTGGAAGTCTTCCTTCTTCTTGAATTTTTTGAAATAGTTTGTGGAGAATTGGTGTTAGTTCTTTTTTGAATGTTCGGTAAAACTCCCCCGTGAAGCCATCTGGGCCTGGGCTTTCGTTTGCTGGGAGAGTCTTGATTACCTCTTCAATTTCCTTAGTTGTTTTTGGTCTGTTCAAGTTTTCTATCTCTTCCGGGTCCAGTTTTGGGAGTCTGTGTGTTTCTAAAAATTTGTCCATTTTGCTTAGATGTTCGAATTTGTTGCCATATAGTTGTTCATAGTAGTTGTTAACGATCTTTTGTATTTCCGTGGTGTTGTTTGTTACTTCTCCTCTTTCATTTCTGATTTTGTGTATTTGGGTTCTCTCTCTTTGTTTCTTGGTGTGTCTAGCTAAGGGTCCATCAATCTTGTTTATCTTTTCAAAAACCAGCTCTTTGTTTCATTGATCCTTTGAATTGGTTTTTTGGTCTCTATGTCATTTATTTCTGCTCTGATCTTTACTATTTTCTTACTTCTACTTGCTCTGGCGTTTTCTTTTTGTTTGCTTTCTAATTCTTTACATTGTGATGTTAGACAGTCAATTAGAAATTTTTCTTGTTTTTTGAGGTAGGCCTGTAGTGCTATGAACTTCCCTCTCGGAACTGCTTTCGCTCATCCCATAGATTTTGTGTTCTTGTGTGTTCATTTTCATTGGTTTCCAAGAAGTTTTTAATTTCTTCCTTGATCTTCTCGGTGACCCATTCATTGTTTAATAACATGCTATTTAGCCTTCATGTGTTGAAATGTCTTTGCATGTTCTTGTTGCAATTGATTTCTAGTTTCATGCCATTGTGATCTGAGAAGATGCTTGATATGATT